TGCACGTTGTGTATTCTCCCGCCTTATGCAAGGTGTACTATTGCCACGGGCCTCAGCACTATTCATGCGCCGGTCAAGTGAGACTGTAAAATCAAGAGGAAAGTAGATATTTTAAAAATCTGCTCATATTTACACTTCTATACATTGAGAAAGCAAAAAAGGAAAGAAATAATTCAAGTTATCAAAAATGGTTACCTAACACATTTTTATTCGACGTTAAGATATGGAACTATTTTACACCCTTCGTTACCAACTTTACTGGGTGTGTATCACTCAGTGTGCCCGTTTAAATATATACAGGCAGAGGCAGTGACTTTTTTCTAAAGTTGATTTCAAAAGTGCCCACTTATAGTGAACAGCCTTTACTTATAAAACTCATATGAACCACTATGGAGGCACATAAAATATAAAAAAAATTTATTTGAAACGTCATTACTGAATGTGTAAGTTGTTAGTGCAGTTGACAAGCGGTTTTTACGGATAACTTAAATATGCGTCTGAGAAGCTCTCCAAGACTCGGTTTTTCGTGACGGCTCCTTTGAGGATGGTGAGGCGGCCGGGTACTGAAGGAGCGCTGCCAGACGTCACGGCCGGCTCGAAGATGGCTGCATCGGCCCTGAGTCAGACAGATAAACCGGTGGACAGATGTTTGGCTGGACCTCCACCCACCGCTCGAGGGAGAGTCAACGAATCGTTCACCACGCATGCGCGGACGTCATCGCATCTCCAAGAGAGGCTATTTCCCGCCGCGCCGGGGCCTCTGACGGAACGATCTGCAAATACTGCGTCTAATTCCGTCCGCGGTGCACGACCGCTCTGGAGCATCAGTCCCGGTGGTACACCGCCGGACACAGAACGCGAGCGCTTCCGGGGGTCTCAGGCGTGGCCACACAGTACCTGACAACACACACGTGCAAATACAGGGACAACTGCTGACTCCAGCTACATGTGCCAGCAAAATGGCGGAACGCACTGAAAGTAAATCGTTTGTACAGGGCCAAATATACCTATATTTATTTGCTTTAACAAAATATGTTCTTGAGCAAACAAAATCTGAAAAGCAACAAAATTACGTTTGTTCGTCTAGCAAAATATACGTTTGAATAAACAAAATCTCCGTGTTGGGGGAAAAAAAAAAAAAAAAAAAACTAAATATTTTGTTGAATCAACTATATATACTTGTTTGGCCACTCACTTGACTGCCTTCGTTCGAAAATACAGCTCGAGAGTTTGTTTGTATTTTTTTTGTGACAATTAGGATAGTAACCGTGTTTGTTAGTGCATATATTGATGCTTAACAGTCGTATAAATACACTAATAAAACAATTCAACAAGAAACTGACAAGTAAAGCTGTAAAACTTAAAATATTTGTTTGCACATGTTGCCCAGTATTTGCAATATATATATATATATATAAATATATATATATATATATATATATATATATATATATATATATATATATATATATATATATATATATATATATATATATAAAAGCTTTTCGGTGTCAACAGTCGTCACATTAGCTGAGATTACTAAGACATAGCGCTCGGACGCAGGTGATCTAGGTTCCAAACACGGTAGAATTTGTAAAAAAATTCTTATATCGGCCCAAACTGTTTAATGTACGTGTGGCCAAACAAATCTTTAGTTTCACCAACCAAATCTTACAGTTCGGGGGCAACCAAATGAGGACAACAAAATAATTTGGTTTCAGCAACAATATATTTCATTTCTCCCATACAAACAAGTAATTTGGTTGCACCAAACAAATCTTCTTCGATATAACATGACCTTTACCTCAGTGCGAGATGCGCGAGCTGTAAGACTGATTCTTGCTCAGCCACTGCTCGCCTCGTCGCTTCTAGACGCGAGGCACTCGGATGGCGTGTCTTTCCGTCGGCGACTCGGGTCAACCTCACACTTCAAACGGCCACCCTATCATTTTACGGCACGCCAATAAAGATAAACGTATGTGATGCGTGTCTAAAGACAACTCTCAAGTTTCTGTACTGAAAATTTAACCGCTAAAACACGACTGTGAAGACACAAGTCTTTACCATTTTTCACGTACAACAAAATCCTTCAAGTTGAAATGACAACTTGAGACTTGTATTTGGCTCCGAAAACGTCTCTTCCTAATTTTTTCCATGATTAGACAACACTGCAAAGTATCCGACCGTTTTTTAAATGACGTGTTTTCAACCAAACCTCTGAAACTTAACTTCACGTGCTAATAAGGCGGAGCCATCAATGCTGCAAATCCAATGCCAGTGTATTAAAAAGCATTACATCTCGTTTATACTTGTATTTTGTTTAGTCAACGATTTAGAGTGTTGCAGTGAGCTACGTTTCCGGAAAATGTGCTAAGTAATTGCGTATGTCAACGCGAGTTCGTGTGTGAAGTCTACAGTTAAGGTTGAAGTAAAGCATCTGCTTAAGGAGTACTGAACCCGACTATTACAACGTGAAGAACTAAAAAAAATGTTGCACAGACACCAAGGAAATTATCAGAAAAGTGCGATTTATGCTGTATATGAAAGAAGAATTTATATATTTTGGAACACTATCAAATATTTTACCAAAATATACTCTTCAAATGTAAAAAATTAATCGATCGATAGAGTCCGCATTTGTAACAAAATTTAAGCGCATTTCCATTCTAGATACTTCAAAAAGTAGAATTTACAATAAAATATTTTTGGAGGATCGTCATAATATTTACTATGATTGCATGTATGAAAATTGTAATAATGAAGTATCATATAAATTTTATAATTAACTTTATTTGCAGCAATTTCAGCCATACATTTTTGCGACAAATGGACGCACATAAAATCAATTACAAAAATTATTTCATACATTATTATTACAATTTTATTACATGCAGTCATAGTAAATCTTATGATGATCTTTCTTGAAGAACATTTTATTGTAAATTCTGCTTTCTGAAGTATCGAGAATGGAAATGCGCTTAAATTTGGTTAAAAATGCGGACTCTATCGATTGACTGATTTTTTTACATTTAAAGAGTATATTTTAGTAAAATATTTTATAATTTTGCATAATTTATACATTATTCTTCCATATACATCATAAATCTCACATTTCTGGTAACTTTCATGGTGCCTGTATTTTTTTAATGAGTTATTCACGTTGTATAGTCGGGTGCAGTGCTCCATAGGCAGTTGCTTTACTTCAACCTTAACAGTACGGAGATAAGTCTCGGGAAGAGAAAGTGTGGATATAAATAGCCTACCCACAAGTTTCATAGATTACAATAGTGAATTCTCAGTTGTGAACTTCATACGCATACGTATGAGTACACGTAGAGGATCGCTAATCATTTGAACATCTTTTAAGGATTTTTTTTTTTCCCCGGTACTTAAAAAATTTTTCAGTTGTGGTACTTGGCAGCTTATACCTGACGATGGACAAGAGACTGCAATTTGGCGACACCTTCCAGCGGTACGGCTATTGAAGTGTCAATATTTACTTCGTTATGATAATAGATCCGTAGTCTCAGACGTACGAAACGATCGTCCGAAACGATCCGTCCATTATTCTTCTGTAACAGTAACGGGTCTTATCTAGACGGCTACCGTAAAAGGTTCTTTACAATAGAATATCTTCTACGTCTGTAAGAGTTGTTTCTGCTTTGCGATGCACGTATTCATAAGTTTATTATTTTATAATGAAATATTGTACTACGTGTGAAGCAGTAAGACTTGCTGGTGACTCAGAAACAGGCTGGACGTGCGCACGTTGGAAAAAATCTCTCTTCATCTTGCTCGGAGGCTTCTATTTAAAGTGATTTATTTGACAGAAATACGTTCAGTTTCTTTCATTACTACAATTACAAGAAATATATCACAATATAAAAGCAGATACTTTAATAAAATATGTTATATAAATAAATTTTCGATTATTTTGGGTGAGTGTAAAGGGGTGTTGGGGAAGGGGTGAGGGGGAAGGGGATATGAAATAAAAATAGACCTAGTGCTACCTGTTAACGTGTTAAAGACGCTACCTAACTAGAAATCGTTTGCGCATCAGATGTGCCATTACCTGAAGGCATAAGGCATGGAGTGCAGTCTTTTTGTGGGCATTAAGCACATCTATAGGTAGAGATAGGAACATTTCGCGAGTCCATTTCAGGACAAGATAGACGTCAAACACGTGTACACTGAAGTTGACTTTGCAATTGGATCGTATTTTATTAGACAAGGCCTGGACGACTCTCAGCCTATATCAGACTTGCAAGGAAACAAGTAGCGAGTGCCATACTGCCAGGTGTGAAGTAACACTGGCTACTCTATGGGGCAGCAGCCAATGAACAAACATCTAAGGCTCTAGTATACACGTGACTGTGGAGTCTAGGCTATAGGTCATTGAACTCGCGAATTTTTCCTATCCCTGTCTGTAGGACATCCAGCGATATTCCTTTCATTTTATGCAATAATTATATATGCAAAGGTGTGCTTGTGCTACACATTTATGTGACGCTATGCAATTATTGTACCAGAATTTTCATTTTGAAAATACCCGTTTTCGGCTTTGTCGCCCTCGGAAAAAAAAATACACATTTGAGACACTCCACGAAGATGCCCTTTATAAAAAATGTGTATTGTTTTCATAAGCTTCGTTAAAAAATTTGGAGCTATCTGTTAAGAAACAGAACTGACTGGAGTTCCGCTCACTGTATGGCAGCCAGGTGTATGGTACGCTCCCGGATACTAAACCTGAACATGACCATCAACAAAAAATCGTGTACATTATATTGCATTAAAAGAGGCCTATAGCGATTGTGAAGTACAATTCCTTGAAGTTCTACACAGCCAGGCGGATGTTACAGCGCCATTTAACATCTTTGTGAGTCGCCTAAAATAAAAGAAATGGGGAAGTGCAATGAAGTATGAGTTTGCAATTCTGAAATGAGCTTCAAATATAACAGTTATATCATATATGCCTTTCCTAGTGGTTTTTCAACAGCAGAGCTCTGATAGCTCTGTCGGTAGAGCGTTATGTTTGAAGTTAGGGGTCTAGGGTTCATATCCCTGTTCGAGCGGACGAATTAATTTTACTAACGCTGCTAATGTGTACCAATTTAACGAGATATCCATTCAAAGGAAATCGCTGTGACACTGTAAAGAAAACAAAAATGATTGGCTAAGGAAATTGAAAAGTTTAGAATAAAGTAATAGCAGGCGAACTAAAGCTAATTTTTTTGTTACCTGATGGCATTTGAGACTTGCTTGGAATTGAGTATTATTTTAATGTATATACTGGTGAAATGTTTAAGCGATGCAACATTCATTGCAGTTGACTGCAAAGTCAGCTTTATCTACAGTTTAACACTTCCATCGTTTTGCTTTCGTAATACTAACTAGACAATATAGCAAGCCAAAGAAAAAAAAAACAAGATAGCAAGTAATATTACAATTTACGTTAAACATTGAGAACATTTATTGATATTAGACTACGGGAAATGAAAATGAACAAACAAGTTAAACTAAAATGCAGACACTCAACGTAAAAAATTTCATATTTTATCGGTCTGGCATATTCAGCCTAATCAGGGCTGTACACAGAATAAAATATTTAGGGGATGAAAATATCATCCCTTTTTCAAAAACATTTATATAGTTGTTCACGGTTATTTGAGCTCTTTGTAAATCAACCTTTGAAAAAAGGCCACTGCCTCTAAGAGCATATTTTAACGGGTTCATTTCCTGGCAGGCGCCCAGTGAAGTTAGTAACGACAGAGAAAAAAGTTTCATGCCTTAATGTTGAATTTAAAAAGTTAGGTAAACATTCATCAATACTAAATCTTTTTATTTTGCTTTATGTTTTTTAATGCACACAAGTGTAAGAATGACCAAATTTGGAAAATATTTTCTTTCCTAATAATTTCAGAGATTCGCGTGACTAACACATGAATAAAGTGCTGAGGTCAATGGCATTGTTAATTTTTATATACGGTGAAAAAATACTCAATGTTCACGCAAGTAGATTTTAATCAGGGCTTCGAAAGTGCTCAGGTTACCGCCAAAAGTATTTAGATAATTGTAACTATTATACACACAACATTCTCCAACACAAATTAAACTTTATTTGATAACTCAGATTATGAACAAACAGTGAGGAAACACTGTTGCAAGCGACGTGCCATAATAGCTGCAATCTGTTCTAGAAATGTATCAAAGAAAAGGCTAAGGGAAATGGCACTGTTAGCTGAGACTATTTTCCCGTGTACCAACTAATAAAACTGAAATGGTCAGAAACAATTAATATGTCTAAGTCCTGATCATAATGTGTAGGTCACTATTGTTTAGTTTCATCAGCCACCTGTGGTAAATGGATAAGAGCAAATATACTAATTTACTATGTTTTTTTTTTTTTTTTTTTTTTTTTTTTTTTTTTTTTTTTTTTTTTTTTCCAAATCTTACGAAAATGCTTTAGTGATCCTGTTAAACATTCTCTTATACTTAATAAATTCGAAAGATTAATCTTTGTAGGTGATTACTTCATCATATTGTGTTGACTCCTATGCTGGTTACGTTGTGTTTCATCTTTTTCTCTTTTCGGAGGATTGCACAGACGAACTCACTTTGTTTGCAAACTGTCTGGCTTCATCCATGATGTTGATACCATGACTCATTTGTGCTTGGTAGTTGTCTGGACAAGATAGGTTGCTATGCAGGTGCCACTTGCTTGTGCTATGAGTGATGATGTCGCCTAAGCAGTGCAATGCGATCAGATTTCCACAGCTGACTCATAAGAATACCGCAGTGACATTTCTCACTACCTGTTTAGTTTGTGATTGCATGTTCTCAACAACTTCTATGATTCTTGGCAGCCTTTTAGGAGAGTGCGAACCTGAGCAAGTCGGTCGTCCAAACATGTGATGCAGACTTTCTTCATTCTGACCGAGCTTGTTGCTGTACGTGATGTACTTCAAGTAATTAATTATATGCATCGATTAGTGAATGTTTTGTTGCATGACCTTCAGTAACCTGCTCAGAAGATAAGTTATGGTGAGCATTTCCCACAGACGCGACGGTTTCATGAAGAGAAGAACTTGTGCAACTTTTGGACAACACCAAAGAACGTTGTTAGGCCTATGTCAGTATCAACTTTGGCTGAAAGTATACGGCGAAATTCAAGGCTCGTGAAGTACGGTGAACATAAACAGCCAGTGGATTATGTTCTTTGAAGTAAGCCTGTATTCCAGAAAAGGAGCCCTTCATTTCTTACGCGCAATCTTAAGTTTGTCCTCATCAGTACGGAAAGGTGTATTTCGCGAAGATATTTATGGCCACGCTACACTTCATGATCCTACGCCCACAACCACAATTTCCTTTGGTTATTGGTAGGAATAGGAAAAATTCGTGAGTTCAATGACGTGAAGGCTAGACTCCACAGTCATGTGTATACTCGACCCATAGATGTTTGTTCACTGGCTGCTGTCTCTTATAGTAGCCAGTGTTACTTCACACCTGGCAGTATGGCACTCGCTACTTGTTTCCTTGCAAGTCTGCTATTGGCTCAGAGTCGTCCAGGGCGTGTCTAATAAACTGCCATCCAATTACAAGGTCAAGTTCAGTGTACACGTGTTTGAAGTCTATCTTGTCCTGAGATGAACTCGCGAAATGTTCCTATCCCTAATTATTAGCCGCTTGTCTATGTGAGAAGACATGTTCTTATTTGACTGGACCAATCGTGATAAAGAGCTACGATACTGAACGTCCATGATTCGCGGACAGACACTCAAGGCAGGTGACATTTAAAATCATCAATACACGAAAGTCCATATGAGCAAAAATGTTTTGGAGTACAGCTGGTCTTGAAATCTTTTCGCGGAAAACACCTGTCCCTAGTCATAAGTAAACAATATGCAGTCACAGACTGTTCAATAATGAGGGCATCTTTTCCCCACGAAGTCACTGGCTATTGTTTTATCTCCTGTGATTGGAATGGATAAAAATGACTGAAACACCTGAACTTGTTCATCAGTTTTGACATCTCGAATTACGAAGGAAAACTCATCAAAGTGGGAAATGTTTGTTGAGTCACATAACAAAGTTTTTATTATGAAAACGCTGACAAACAGTTTTGTGGTCGATAAAAAATAATTTTGTATTCGCTGCAAAAATTTGACTAGATGAAATTTCGCAATTTTTTTCCCCAGTGCATATTAAATTTTATTCGCTGGTTAATCGTTGTCCACAAATCTACATTACTGAAAATAAAATTACAATTGAGGCTGTGGTTTGGACTTGAACCAATCCCATTTGGTAATACGCCAATGTCTTGGCACTAACACTTATCTAAAAATATACTAATTGCGTACTCTTCCAACACTTTTTTATGTCGTTTAACATTCCATCAGTCAATAAAAGCTAAAAATTTTGGATAGTCATTTATGGGGAAAAAAAGTATTTTATAACCTTTTTAGTTATTGTCTCCTATGTATGGGAACTTGCCCAGGGAGAAAACTCGACGATTTGCACTGTACACAGCAGGTAGAAGCGTTCATTAAGAAAAGTACCTCAGGAGGTGAGACATCATCCGTTGTTAGGACCACGATCTGTGAACACGTGTTGCCAATAAAAAGCTAAAAAACACAAATACGCTTTTCTTGGCACTGATACGTGAAATGGCCTAATACTGATACTATAGTAGTCCCGAACAAAATTCTTGTTTGTTGCAAAGCCTGAAATCTGTGAGTAATCGGGTTTAACTACCTTAGCTCCAAATATATCATCAAAATGATAATATAAATAAATAATTAGAAGCATGGTTTCCATGACGCTAGCGGAAATGTCAATACCTCAACAATAATCTAGTATATAAAGAATATATAATAAAAATGTAATTAATTAATTATGTACTATATAATATAGAACACAAATACAATAGCACAAAAATGCAGTAGGCCCTATATAATCAAAATAAAAAATACTGAAGGAGATGAACCATAAGAGAATTGTTCCCACAGTTTTGAACATATTTTCTTGCTCGTGGCGCTATCTTACGGCGAGCCACGTAACTTAACGGCAACTATTGCTTCCTCTATCAAAGGGCATTTACATAAATGAAAACTTTACAATGCGATTTTACAGTTTCGTTACTTTTACGAAGTTACCAAATACACAATACAAATAATTGTCTAGGGCTGCATGCGCTCGCTGGTCACCGAGATATTAAATATTTTACATCTGTGCGAAATGCTCTTCGACTTGTAGACACTACTTCGTCGCATAAAAAATTTTAGAAGGCGTTGTTTTCTGCACAATGGCCTGTAAGAATCACAATTTTAGAGTTTTTGGGACGTCCAAATAACACAATCTAACTCACGTAACGAAATGAGATCATTCATGTTGAATATAACATGAGTTATTTCAAGGAATCTTTCAAGTCACGCTACAAGAAGTTTTCGCAAATTAAAAAAATTACTTATTTATTTGTAGCAGTTTGTGTATTATTTTTTTTTAAAATAAATTTTGCTAAGCTTAATACTTAAAATAAATTAGGACATAATATTTCAGTCACCTCCTAACGACTGATTGGATTTTGACAAAATTGCAGTAACTTGGCTTTGACTTGAAGTATATACATATTTGAAATCATGAAGTCAAGACTACTGGATCTTAATTTTGTCAATTACATTGTGTCACGCTCCTTAACAAACAATACACTGATGAACAATTGCAAAGTCAAAACGTAAAAAAATTTCTAAAGTTTTCAATTGTGTGACTGCCTCAAGCGAAAAGGGACAAAAAACACTGTATAGGTTAATCGCATTCTACAAATTTATGGACTCAAATACAGAAGAACCAAGAAATTGCAATCCTACATATTTGTTTTTACTAACTCTGAGAGCACATATTTTACCAGCGCGGTGTGTGTCTGTCCAGCTATTTCTTCCTCCATAATTTTTGACGCGTTATTACGGCGCAAGATGTTATGCGAAGTAAATACACCAGTATGGCAAAACAGTTGCTCACAAAATTGGAAATCTAGGATTGGTCTTTCTTAATTTCTTTACGTTGGCTTGAAAAAACC